CTGCCTTGTACATAACAAGGAGGGTGACTTTCCCCCAAAGGGGCAGGTAAGGCGGTGCATGGCTTGAGAGGCATTTAATTACAGAGCCAAGTCCTCAGGTTACAGACACTTCTGTGGTGGTGGTGGAGAGTGGTCAGGTTGGCAGGCGCTAAGGGAAGTGGCAGAGGGGGAGCGACAGAGTTCCCGCAACTATTAGTATGGTTCTGGCTTTAAACTCTTGTACAAGCAGCAGGTGAAAATCATCCCAAAGATCTACAGGGTGTAAAGAGAAGAGAGAAATGCATGAAAAAACAGAATGGACGTAGTGGAGACTGCAGCTTGCAAACTAACAGTCTGGACCCAGACTGCAGTGGCAGCTAGCTCCTGCCTGGGGATACCACACTCCAGCTTGCAATAAGCAGCAGGAGAGAACATAATCTGTGCTAATCCTCGTAATTAATCACCAGCAGCTTCTCTGGGGTGTAATTTGGCTACTTGCCAGAACAAAGGGGAGGATGAGGAACTCCCAGAGACATCTGCACCTGGAAGAAAAGTATATCCTGTGCCCTCCCCTCTAAAATGGGAGTGGGGGGCATCCATATCCTACCCTTTTATTCATCACTCTTTCCCAAATCATTTCCAGACCCATAGTGCCGTTCTTCAATATGACACAGCCAAGGGAGAGGTTCTGGACGACTTACAATAATCCTAATGAACTGGGGTAGGAAACTCCTCCAGACTGGCTCTTTGGCTGCGCGGGCAATCGTGGCACGTCCCCACAAGAGGTCTCTCTCAGGCTGCCAAACCGCCTGCCATGGCCAGCACCCTTCCCACAGCACTGGAGCAGAAGTCTCTCCCCCTTGCCCAGCTGGTTCCACTCCTTCACCAGAAGCAAATTTTACAGGCTGGCAGAAGAGCCTTGTGCTTTAGAGCTAGTGAATCCTCGGGTCCCTGAAGTACCTGGCAACTTCTCCTTGCCAGGCAGGGAAGAGCCTAAAACATCTGATTTTTTTCCATCTCTCAGCTCTGGGGTTCCTTTAACTTCTGCCCAGCACCCCCAAAATTCCACTCAACCTTTTTACCTGCACGCAAGCAATGCTGATCCCCACTGCCCCGATAATTTTCAGATGCTCTTGAATGAAGTTTTCCAGCTTGGTAATGCAACCGCTCTGCAGGGTGAAAGGAGCGACATGGAAAATCAGCTTCATTTTAACCTCTTGTTCACTTTAATCAATGGTTGCGACCCTTGAAAGCAACGCTATAGAAAGCAGTGTCTGTGAGCAATCTCTTCCCCCAACATCACTGGAAAAGCTACACAGATGATGTAAAATGCATCATGTTTTGTATTGTTCTGGACCTACTGGTTCAGGAACTGTCAAACAAATCCAAGGCAGCTGCTAGCTGGGTAGGAGAAATGCAGAAGAACTGGCCACATCACACAGAGGGAGTGTGTCATTTTTCTCTGAGATATGTGGAGAAACGTTCCCTCACTCACTGCCTAGCGCATGCCTGGAGCGGGTGTTTACTCCCATCAGGCCAAAAGGCCAAGGAAATGCTGATGAGTGGATCCAGTACCAAGAACTCTAACAGGAACCTTTTAAGAGTAAATTCCTCCCACTGCTATTTATGACAGCAGTGAGTTTCAGTGTGAACCTGGAAGGCCAGGCTCTGCCTGCCTCTGCCTTGCAACTGCATCCTTGGCTGGCAGTGTGACCTTTCCCTCCCTGTTTCAGGCCCAAGTTTTTGTTGTCATAAGGCAAAAATAAATCAGTATGAACATACTCTTGGGGTTTTTTTTGGGCAGGGGTGGGGAAGAGTTCCTTTTAAGTAATTAAACTGTTTACTTAGGCAGGTTTTCCATGGTAACATCAGGGGACTTTACTGTGTAGGTTACAGCAGTGCCCCAAGTGTGCAGGGGGCCCTCCTGCCCCAGGAGTTTACAGTGAACCCAGACACCTACATGCACACAGGCAGAGGGAAGGAGTGAACACACAGGCCTCCAGGGAGGGATGCCAAAGGCCTCACTTTTCCCATGCCAGCATTAGGTTTTAGAGTCAGCCCCAGCTGCCCTGATATGAAGCAGTTACTCCTGTTCCCTGATCTGACCCTTTTCTAGGTTCTTCTTCCCCAAAGCCACTAAAATCCTTTCTGAACTCTGACTGAGACCTCATATCATGATACGCAGCATCTGACTGTGGATCCAAACCTCCCCTTACAGCTTTGTCTCCTCTAGAGCTAGCCCAAAACATTTGGCAGCCTACAGGGCCTCTCTTAATAATGCAGCCGGGCAGCCACCTCCAGCTTCATGCAGCACAGAGAGAGGATGGGAAATGCCAGCCCTGCCCCTCAAATGGTTGTGGGTTTCCACTCTCAGAAACACCTCATCAGCTCTTGGACTCTTCTGCACTTCCTCATTGGGTCTTGCCTGGAAGGCACAAACCTTATGGGAAAGCCTTCTTCCTGAAGAGCAAAACCCAGCCAAGCAGCTGGACGTAAGAGGGGCTTTGGTAGATCAGACAGACGGGACTTCATCTCCCTATTCATTCCACAAAGACAGATGGTTGGTTTCCTTTTAGCTGTCTGAGTTGCTTGGCTTAATGCAGATGTTATTCACACTCCTCTTCCAAGTCCTGCTCAAAGCCTAGACTGTGAGAAGAAATATGTGCTCTGAAGGGGCCACCTCTTCATCCACAGCCCTCTTAAACTGTCAGGGCGACACGGACAAGGAAAAAGCTCCAGTTGTTGCTTCCCGGACTCAGTGAAGCCAGCCAAGGTGCTGGTTCCACTGATGAGAAGAAGGACTTCACTACCTCATAGAGAGCATCACAGTGAACAAGTTACAGCCAGGTGACAGGACTGGAGAGTGCCAAAATAAATGCAAGAACTTTCACCAGCCTTACGCAAACTGGATGAATAAATGGTCTGAGAGCTAGCCGTTTACTTACTCAGCTAGTCTGGGATTCAATTTGCTTCTTCTAGACAAGAGACAAGCCCCTCTATCTCAACTCCAGCCTTCTTTTCAGCCCAAACTGCAGCCCACTGGAACTGGGCTAATTCGTCTGCTATGGGGCCCTCTTTCTTCCCTATATGTTGTTTCTTCATGCTGTAGATCAAATCCCACTATCTCAATTAAGGACCAGAAGTATCTCCATTTGCACCTCACTGAGTAATTCCAATGACAGGAAGCTGTATCAAATGTAGGGCTCACACCCAAGTCTCTTGCCAGAACCAACAACCTCTCCCACTTCCCCCTATCACTAGCATACTCTGTAGTAACAAATATAATTTATTACTTTTCTCTATATCTACATACAAAATAATAGCCTAGATGGCTGAATGCTCAACTAGAGAAAAGAATTCTACTTTCTAAGGAATCCTACTGACTTTGAAGCCAACCGACAGTTTGCAGCAATAACCCAACACCCTCACTCCCTGCCCACCTCCTTTACATACTTTGCAGCTCTGAAGCCCTTTTGCTTTTTACCTCCTTGTAGATGTTGGAAGGATGGTCTCTTCGGCCACACAGGTCAGTTATTGTCTTACAGCAGCTGTCTGGGACTTTCCGTCCATTGGCCTCTGGAGATTTGATCCACAGGCTGTCAGCCCAGTCTGTGTAGTTGTTGCTCCCACAGCACCTGAACTGCATGCACACAGAGCAAAGGCTGAGCCTGCAAGCACTGCAACCTCCTTCTCCCTCCAGCCTCCCACACTAAGCCCTGGATTTCAACCTCCTTTGCAGAGAGACTCCAGCTACCTCACGGGCTTTTGGGTTTTTTTTTTTTTTTGTGGCTACTATAATTATTAGTGACTTTTGTGTTAAGAGTCTCCAAAATGGCCACTAAATATCAGTTTCATCCATCTTTCAGCAGCTGTGACTTTTGGTTACTGCTGGGATGAACTGTAACCAGAGCACACCTGCAGCTGCCTCAGCTCTTAACCACCAGACTGGAGAGTGTTAATGGTGTTAACAGAGTAAATTTAATTTCCAGCTGCTATCACAAATGCACCTGCTATGGCTGTATGCATATAGTAGGCCCTATGCTTTCAAAACACCTGTGCACAAGGGACCTTTCTGTGTGAAAGCCTGTCAGAGCTGCAGCAGCCCTAACCTGAACCACCCCTGAGCCAGGCACAGCTAGCAACAGTGTCAGGAAGGCTCTTCTTTCATTACATCTTGCTCTCTAGGGTACTGAGGAGCTTAATGAAAAATGTCAGTGATTTCTCCAAAGCTTTGAAGTGGGAAGGAGAAACAGCTGTCAGAGTGACTGGGCAGCTCCTGTTCACTCTGGGAGCAATTCAGATGTTGTCTCCTCAGTACTACTGGGCATGCAATTCAGAGATCACACCATGCAATCCTGCCAGTTGCATGGCCCAGGCCCTGCACCCCACCCAACCTTGTCTTGAAGAAGAACAACATACACTCAGCATACAGAAGAAATATCTGTATGCTGGATGTTAAGAGCCCATGGTGCCTTTTGTGTGCTTGATTTTAAGCCCTGCAATTGCATTAATTCTCCCTGCCTCTAGAGATACCTACCTCCTGCTGCAGTTTGTCTACTGCGCTGGTAACACTCTCTTCTCCCTCCTTCCGGTACTTCTGAGTCATGGTGTTCTTCAAATTTTGCTTCAGCTCCATGCTCAGCTGAATGGAAGAGACAAGTGGGATAAAATCACAAGGCAAACTCATCCCTCAGAGCAACCCAAAGCCCTGCAGACGTTTCATTGCCTTTGCTCCAAGAGGAAAGCTGAGCGCCTAGTGGAAGTTACAGCTTCCTTCAAGACCATCCTCCACGGCTGGACTGGACAGGCTTATTTCCAATTGATTACAGATCATGCCTCTATTTTAATAGCTGGAAGGAGGTGCTTCAGGGCCAAATTTCAGCCTGTGCTACACATCACCATATGGGTCCTCACCTTGAATATGTAAGATTGCCAAGACATGCCTGCATCAAAAGAGAATACAAAACTGTGCCTGCTTAAATATGAAAATGACTATGAAACCATGTGCAGTCTTCTCCTTCTGAAGCCTGTGACAAAATGCTAAAAACCAAATCACTCTGTCCAGGAGCAGGAAGAGATCAGGGTCCTGGGCATACTGGACTGAAACCATGTAGTCTGAACAGTTCTTGTATTGGCATCAAAAAGGATGCCACAGGAGGGAATTAAGTGTGCGATTGCAAAAGTACTGCAAGGCCTTTCTTGATAACAGTGACAGAGAGACGAAGTCTGATTTTGCAAGTACAGAATTTCTGAGAGCATCATCATAAAACACTGGCATGGTGACAGAGAGACAAAGTCTGATTTTGCAAGTACAGAATTTCTGAAAGCATCATCATAAACCACTGGCATGTTCAGGTGATTGGCTTCCAACATTTATTCCTGTGGAGGCTCTTTTAATCTAGCTGAATTCTTCTCACCCATCCAGGTGACAGCCAAAAAGTGCCAAAGAGCTGCATCTTTTTTCTTGTCATCCTGGTTCATACAGCAACACTGCTTTAGTCCAACACTTGTGAAATTCTAAGTTTCCTATACCAATAAAAAACATCAACATGCATTTTAGATGGGGTCAATGAATGAAACAGGTGGGTAGCCTCTCTATACACCTTTTATTCTACACAGTAAGTAGCAAATGAGAGGTCAAACACCTGGTTATGCTGAACTGCAAAATACAGTCTGTGGTCTATTCTCCCTTTGAAACACTGTTTTTTCCAACTCCATGTGTCAAATGGGGACAACACCTACCTCACAGAGATGATATGAGGCTTCATTCATTAATATTTGCAAAATGCTTTGAGATCCTGGGCTGGCAAGCTCTACAGAAGTGCAAGGACTTAGTGTAATGAAAAGAAAGGAAAAGGTCCAGCAGCTGGAAGGCATCAGAGGTAAATAAAGAGGAGAGTCCATTAGCAGAATTATTACTTGGGAGAAAAGCAGTTACCTGCGGGCTCACGGGGAAGAACTGCAGCATGGAATAGAGATAACAAAAGAAACAGTTTAGACACACACTCGCAAGCCTCAGACACCAAAGCAAGGGCTGAAATAAAAACAGTGGCAAACAGAGCAAGCAGCCTGCAACCAGGAAAGAATAGGGATTTGTCAGCCAGAGGGCAAGGGGAAGTGCAGCCATTGATCAGAGATGCCCTCAAGTGATCTAAAGCACTCAAGGGTACAGCTCTGACTATGTTGTTCCTTATTTCAGCCGAAGGATCAGTTCCTCTTCATCCATTGTCATAAATGAACTTTGTGCCTTTGCATGGATGGATGGACAGACCCTGGCTCCCTGCTATGCCTGCCAGGATTGATCTTTCCCTGTTAAATATGCACTTGCATACAACTGATCCCTCCTGCAGGAGCCAGCATGGTTCTTTGGCTCCTCGCAAACTGCCAGTGGCCATCTTAGTGAGACAAAGCACAGAAGGCCCAAGAGAAAAAGGAATGGCAAGACATCCTGGCAGTGAAGTCAACAAGATGGGGCATCCAGCTGCTTTTCAGACAGCCACTTGACAACAATCCTAATTTGCCACTTCCAATCAATTTCCAGGCATGAGAGCAACTTTGCAGGCTGTTTGTGCCTTGGTGGTTAAACTCCCTTTGAAAACAAAGTGATGACTTAAGCCTCTGCTCTCTGCAACTGCAAAAAGTGCCAAGCCACAACTGCAGCTGTTGGGAGCCTGTGCTGTCCTTGAGCCCCTCAGCTGGGCTGGTTAAGCAAAACTCTCAGAAACTTCTTGCCTGAAAGGACCTCTCACCTGGACCATTCATTATCTTTGCCAGTTCAAAAGTACAGCAGCTAGCTTGCTGGATGCAGCAGGAACTGTTCCTATGTCCTGAATAAGCTAAGTGGCACTAACGTGATTTCAGTTGCTTGCATTATCCCTTGAAGGGTGTTGGGAGGATTCCTAGACCTACACAGCCTCAAAAATTGTCTTCTACAAGACTCTGCAAGAAAAACAGTGCACAAATGTGAACCACAGGAAGGAGATGAGCAGCAAGGCTGAGCAGCCTCCTGTATGGTAACCACCACCACTTTGTCAAAAACAGTAAATAATCCAAGGTTTTCTGTATGGGGAGGGGAGTGAGTACAGACATGTGGAAAAGTGAACCACAACCAGACCCTAGGTCCCAACCCTCCAAGCTCAGTTCTGGCTGGAGAAATGGGATGATAACCAGCTGTTTTCTCTCCCTGGTTTGAGTCTCTAAGGACTAACGTCCACTCACCTGCTGGTAGTAGATATAGGCCAGGATTCCAGCAATGATCTCCAGGAGAAAGATGCACAGCAACAGTATGAAGTACTGTAAAATAATGGGAAAAGCAGGACATCAGAACAGAGTGTGAGGAGATGACAGGAGCCAGCTTTTCATTAGCTGGTAAAATGCGTGACTCTCTTCATCAATGCTTTTCTGCAGCAGTGTTCAAAGGCAGGGGCTGGCATTAAGACCTCAATAGGGTAGGAAAGGAACAATCCCACAGGTTAAAAAAAAAACCCAAACCACAGCATAACTGGAGACAAGCAGCAGCAAGTATGAGTTTAACTCACAGAGCCAGAGGGATATAGAGAATGGAAAAGTGCAGGCAACTGAGGTAAGATCACTGGACAAAAGAAAGTGGTTGCTGGATAACCTGATGACTATACTCAGTATCACAGAAAACATCTGATTCTGACATCAGTAAAAAAAAATTTGAAAATTTTGTTTGGTTTGATATTGTTTAGAGCATTTCACCAAGTTACTAAGGAGCAATATACGTTATAATGATGATTCAATAAAGCAACAAAGGGCCCATTTTACCAAGGGTATAGCAGACCAGCTAAGCATAAGCATAAACCATAGATTTATGTCCCGAGTCACTTCTGTGGGGCTCCACCACAGGCTGAAGGTCACTATTGCAGCAGATGGACTTTAGCACTAATTCACACTCAGGACTGTGACTATATGTTCTGCTGAACTAGGAACTAGAGGGGAAAGCTCAGTATCTAAAAACCAAAGTGAGAAGAGCTCTTAGAAGACTAAGAGGAGAACATGACTGTTTCTTGGCAGTGCAATGGAAAGGGATGTGCCCTCCTTACCACAAGGAGAATCAAATGGACAGTACAGAAAACTGTTTGGGAGCACTGTTCCTATACACAAACAGGATGTGGAAGGGAAGCCAAACCTATGAGGAGGAACATGTGTACTAGAGTAAAAGGACTGGGCAGGCCTGAAGACAGAGGATGACGTGGCCACTTCCTCCTTAGGGTCAAAGACAGCTTTTCAGGGAGAGCCCCTGCCCTGACACACAGCCCCTGACTTGCTCGGGGTCAGCAACAGTTTCTTTACAGATCCAGGCTGTTCTATGACTGCTATTAAATTCATCTTTCTGTAGATAAAGCTGAAGACACCAGTTCCAGCCGTAACAAGGACCTCATGCTAAGTCCCTGTAAGAGTTGGCCTGCCCAGGACAGAACAAAGTATCTCCCATTTTCAGTTTTACCCCGACCTTAAGAAATGACTGTTCCCAAGGGACAAAGCAAATGGCTCCCTACAAATGTAACCAGACATCAAACCATCTCTCCCTGGCACAAAGGTCAGTGAAGACCTGGACACAGCAAGCTGACCTACACAGCACAGATGCCTTTTGTTGCACGAGGGTTACACTCCCACTGTGCAACCTTCTTCGCTAGGTACTTCCAAGCCCCTTTACTCCTGCAAAATGACACAAATACTCAGGCTTCCTCTTTTGCCCCTGTTGGGATTCAGCAGCTGTGAAGGATGGACAGCTGGGTTTTATCTGCAGACCAGGCTTTAATCTGAGCACACAATCTCAGGCTTTCACTCCTCAGCCCCACACTCTCCCCCATGGCCGAACACTGACTGACGCCTGTACAAGGTACCCATTCATAGCAGGGGAATGAGTCACCCAGTGGAGTGCGGGATAGCTAAAGGCTGGTCCCAACACTCACTGGAGGTTCAAAGGGAGCAAGAAAGGATCCCCATGCCTTGACACAAAGGCTGGCTTTCTTTTGTTGGGACCTAGTTATGCCTTAACTGCTCTGACATCATCTCTCTGCCAAGGAGAGGGCAGGAGGGTAGCAGGATGCTGAGAAGAACCAATGAACTGGAAAGTTTTATTTAATTATTTTTCCCTGTTCTGTGTTGTCATGTCAAAGGTATTCAGGCAGAGCTGAGTTGTGTCTCCACAGCTCAGCTTGTTGTGCTGGCTTATGGTGGATAAAAACAAATGTGTATCCAGCAGACCCTAAAAAATTTGAGTCACAAGGCCCTTGTAAAACCTTGTAAGGGAGGTTAGTGCATCTGCCACCCACACATCCAACCTTTCTCTGCTGATACACTGCATCATTATCCTCATCTCGGTCTTGTTGTTGCCTCAGGGCCACTTCCAGGTATGATGCTAACATAGGAGAGCAGCAGCTTTCACTCTGGACACAGAGCACAGGGCTTCTCTCCTTGCTCTTCATCAGGAGTTGCAGGGCTTTCTTACAGAGGTCTGCTCTGGGAGGAGTAGGCCAGCTCTGGCATGGAGCTGCAGTGACATGCTCTACTCTTCCCAAGAGGCTGCAGAGCAAGTCAGAAATGTGGGAACACCCAAAGGCCTGTAGTAAACACATGCCTGGACCTGGGGGGGCTCTGGGTGAAATTTACTCTTATTCTGGCTCCAAGCCAGAGTCAGGACTATCTCGTGTCTCCTCAAGATCTACAGGGTCCAGATTTCTTCTATCCAGCTTCAAGTGTTTGAGTGAAGCACCAAGCTTTAGTGTGTTTTCTCTGAATAACCCAAAAAATGGTTCAACCCACCTACAATCCAAATGACTCTCTGGAGAGATCTTTCTATTACCTGAAGAAGAATATATAGCAACTATACTCCTAAGCCAGCAATGTCACTTCACTGGGAGGGCTCCAGGCTGAAATGCAGCAGGAACAGAAACCAAAACCAATGTGTTTTCCCTTCTCCCTATCCAAGGTAGCTAACTAGAAGTGGTAGTGTGAGGGGCCAAGCCTGAAGAAAGCCACCTTCTTTCTTTACATTCAAGGTCTTCTATTTGATGGGTCCTTTCCTGAGACTCCTGCTTGCATACTTTTGTCTATGAAAGTATGCATCTTGACTGAAGTATAATATAGTAGTGGTTTGTGTGCTTGTAAAGAGGTGGACTGCAGCATCACGGCCAGCCAGGCTGCAGATCCACTGCCATGCCTGCTCACAGAGCCAGAGAAACTCCACATCTGCTGCCCAAGCCTCAGCACATCACCTGGCTAAGGAAGGACACAAGGAAGGCAAATAAGCAGTGACATAAAAAAAGTAGCACAGCTGTGAGTGATGAGCAATGAAATACTATGAAAAGCCTTTAAGTGGGCCCATAAACTCGCAGATAGGTAGAAAGGCAGCAAAAAATTCACAGCTTCCTGAGTCTTCAACAGAAAAACAAACTAAAAATCAGATATGCATTTTACAAACAGCACCCAAAGCTGTCAACAACTGATTTTTAAAAGCACCAAGGAGGCACTGGGGAGAGCGGAGAGTGCTGCTTACGGCACTCCCTCCCATTTTTACATGGGCCTCTGGTACAGAGAGAAATTGGGACAGGCTGGCACAGACTCTGGGGCACTGACTGTGAAGCTGTCAGGATTATTGTCTGAGCTCAGAGCTGGCAAAGGCCCCCAGCCAGGCTCACCCAGCCCTGGCAAGCACAGCCCTATCTCTTGTGCAGATTACTCACCCGCAACCAAAGCGGAGCACAAGCAAGAAGAGACAATAGGCCTTTCGCGACCAGCCACTCTGAAAAGACGCGTGGTATAAGGAGACAGAGTGACCTTTTGTTCCCAAGAGACAATTATTAGTTTTCTGTGGCAGAATAACAAAGAAAACCCCACCGGATTTTCATCCGTAGCTTCTGGCTGAGGCAAAAAGACAAAGGGAGATCTCTTTGGCATGGAGAGTAAGTGAAGCAAGGCCAAAATGGGCTGCTACAGACCAGGAGTCTAATGAACAAGTACCAGCAATGCACTCACTGTGTCCTCCTCTGTGTTTTATTCTCCCTTCCTGGCCCTACTCTGCCTCTCACAGGGATTACCAGGCCTTCAAAGCAGTGGTATAAGCATTAGGCTTGCTCACGACTCCTATTTCTGCTCCTCTATCCAAAAGAAAGAGGAGAAATGGGACAGTCAGTTGAATGAGGATTTGCAAAGGAAGGAGCTGGTGAAGAGTTGCTGAAGTATCCTTTTCTGTAACTGTGAAAGCAAAGAACCACCGGTTGTTATTTCAGTCACTGCACTCACCACTTCAGCCCAGATACTAAATGGGACTGCTGCCACACTCCAGACTAAAAGGGAGATTTGAGAGGGCGGAAGCAGAATAGAAACCCTAGGGCTGGTCAAAAACTTCAGTGTAGGTGGGGGAGCAGGGAGCTCAGGAAGTAACACAGGGAAAGGCATAAAAAAGCAGCAGATTATCAAAACAGCGTGGCTTTTTTGTGGAAGCAAAACTAAAATAATTTTTTTTGCAACTAAAGAAAATATTAATTGGAAATGTTCTCATTTCTGACAACCAAGTGAAAAAGCGTGTTAATTTGGCTTGAACCTACTGTCATTAAAAGCCAGTTTTGTTACAGGTCTCTCCTATTTTCCTCTCTCTTCCCGTTTTCCAAAGAGACTATGGGATGGGCAGGGAAGAAGGAAGAGACAAAAGCCAAGAGATTTTGTTTTGAATAGTTTCCAATAGATGTTCTTACACAAAATATAGGTATTATGACTACACAGAGTACTTTTCAACCATGCAGTTGTAAGCGTATTCTTTGGGTGGATGAAAGGAAATGCTTTGCAGTAGAACCTGCCCCTAGGACAAAGACAGCACTGCTTTTAGGAGCTGGAGACCTTAGTGCTATTTGCTCTAGGACAAACAAGTAAGGTTGGTGCAGAACACAGCCAAGATATTTCCCTCCCTCCCAGCATGGTTCAAGAGCAAATGGGGTGAATCCTCCCCCAAACAAAACAACCAAGCAAAACTTACCACTCTTAGCAAATTCCGACGCTCTTTGAGGGTGGCACAGCACCCAAGGATGCCAGTAACCATGACAACCACCCCAGCCACCACCAGAATATAAGCAGTTGCTGAATATGTGCTGGAAGAGAGCAGGCTGATGTAGTCACTCTTCTCAGCTAGGGTCCAGGTGCCCACTGCCATCACGGCTCCACCAGCCAGCTGGGTAGAGAAAGAAGCAAGCAAATGAAGGGCATCTAATGTGTGAACTTCCTCACCTCCCAGAGCAACTGGACTGGGATATCAGGACATGCCTCAGCTCCATAAGCTGAGCTAAAGATGTTCTACACTAAAGGAAGGACTGCCAGAGGACTCACTGGGACTGGGAGCAGGCCCCAGTGCGCTGGGAGGGGCTGGGCTTCACAGCAGCCAGTTTAGCACCCCAGGCAGCCTGAATGCAAAGCTATCTGAAGCATCCACCTGTGCACAGATTTTATGCAGCTTCTAGTATGCTCAGACAGTTTTCCTTAAAGGTCTGACCTGGACACTCCAATGCTCTGTCCTAGGCAGCAAAGGGAAAAACAATCCTTTGGCATCAGTAACTTTCTAGTGGAAAGCACAACTCTAGGAAGTTCTAGGGAGACCCAGCTGCAAGAAAGTGTTATCCTTGCTTTAGCTGTCCCACTCCACTGCCAGGACTCCCTCTGCCATTTTGAGAGGAGGAATGGCAAGACAGGCTCCCTGAAAAAAGCAAGCCAGGTGAACAAACAAAGCATGTTTTCAGGCTCCCTGTTATTTTCTATACTTGGTAACACGACCTAGAAACAGCCAGAGACTACAGTGTCAAACCATAACTTCTGCAGCCTGGGCAGGCAAGCCCAAGGGATGGGATTTCATCCCGCAGGACGAAATCTGTGTCCCACCAAGGTCAGCACTTTTTGCCAAAGACTTCATCAAGCCCAAGATTTCTGTGCCCCTGTCACCAAAACTGCAATGCTATCTCAGTGCCTCTGAAATAGACTGAAGTTTCTTACCCAGAAAAAGAAGTTGAAGATGAAGAGCAGGTACTTGAGACAGATGGTCCCACATGTTTCCTTCTTTTCTGTATACTCACGCATCTTTCTGGCTCAGCAAGTTCCTGAAAAAGAATCAGAAAAACTTGAGTCAGTCAGTCACCACACCCCTTCTCCCAAAAGGCCAGCATTACTACTCTCCTCCTGCAAGAACTCACACTTCCAACCTTTTACCGAAGCCAGTCAGTGAGCAAGCCATTCAACTGCTTTCAGGGATGCTAGACAGTGTTTGCTTAGATAAAGAGCTCTTGTATCCATTTGGGTGACCTACACAGCACGAGACCTTGCACAATGTGAAAGGGAGGCAGATGGTACCAGCATGTGGCCTTCCTGTACTGCCTTCATCCTCCTTCTCTCATTTTCCTTTAGATCAACACTTGCAGTGGAGGGATCAGACCTACCATTGTGTGAGAGGTCAAGCCAAAACCATGAATTGTGATCAGCGTTATCGTGAGGAAACTTCAGTATAGTTCATGCTCACTTCTTCCTATTTGAACTGAAATAAATGAGATCACAGACCTGTTATCCAGAAAATCCCAGTATCTGGCTCCTGACTGCAGCCTGTTAACTGCTGCTTCTGAAGGTGGTGACAGAAACCTCTGTCTTTTGACATTTACGGAATAATCTGTCTCCAAAGAATATTCTTTCCTCACTGGCATTAGCTACAACTGCCTTAAATAGATCCCTCTCTAAGTTTGGGGCATTTTTGATCTTTATAACTCTAACTGGGAACATACTTGTTATCCACTTAAATGCCCTATCCTTTTTGAACCCCAGCAATATGTTGGAGTAACTAATTCTCTTCTTCAATCTGTTTATTTCTCATGGCCCTTCTCACTGGCCAGCTGTCTCCTAGGGCAGCTATCTCAGCTACTAAGAGGAAGAAACATAACCATTGGCTTCAGATGATCTGACAGCGTAAAACACCACTGCAGATATGTAACAAATGGGAGTTCATTGTGGGTCAGTTCCAGTGCAGTGTTACAGATCTGCTACACTCTTGGGCACGTTTCTTCCTGTTGATGCCAGAAGGCCTGAACCTCTTGAAAAAAATATTGCCACCGCTGCCTGATCAGGCAGACAGGACAAAGGCACTGCCCAGAGCATCACTGCCAGCATCACCTGTGTGAGGCAGTTTCCAGAAGTGCAACCAAACCCACACCACCTCTCCTGCACTCAATTAAAAAATCATCCCTTTCCTCCCCTGCCAGCCAGTGGGGAAGGATGCAAAAATCTTGCACCCGTATCAGAGTAAAATGCTTTCCTGAAGCAGCAATTTCCATGGAAGCAGGCAGGCAAACAGCCTCTCTCCTTTTCCAGAGGCATGGAGCTCACGCTCACTTAGATTACAAAACTTCTTCTCACAAGTGATGTGAGCTTCCTCTGGGGACCCACTGCAGCTGCAACCCAGCCATGCAGTACAGACACTCATCTACCCTGGCAAACCCACTGCAAAACACCTGACAGTAAAGAAAGCAAGCAGCGGGTACACGTAGTCAAGCTGCACATGAAATGGCTATCAGGTTGGACCAGTCAGTATTATCTTTACCACTACATTGCTAACATCTGGCTTTAGAGGCAGATGAACCAAGGCTGGGGAAAGCAGCTGCCCATTCCGCAGCATAATTATATTTTATTTGCAGGGAACTGTTTCCTTTTGCTTCATGCCAGCCCACTCAAAAACCCCAGCCAGGCCTGTGCTTTAGAAACTAATAAATGAAGCTGACAGGGAAGGCAAGGGTGAGAACATGCCAGCAGTCACACCCATGCCTGTCCCCCATCACCATTTCACAAAAAAACATTTTTCTCTAGAATAACATATGGCAACAACAGTTGGCAGCAGAAGGCTGTTTCACTGGCAAAGGGAGCAGCTCTGAGATGGTGGTATATATCAAGGAGAATAACTCTTCAGAGTTATCTTCAGAAGAGATCAGAACCTCCAGCAATGCTCAGATTAATTACCATGTTGCAGCACAAAAAGGCCTGGGGCAGTGTGGAGGAATGGATGCTGGTGGTATGGTATGCACTGAACAGACTTGTAAATTCTCAATGAGAAGACGCCCTGTGAATGCAACGTTCATGGAAGGTGACAGATTTACAGCTCCCAGAGGCTTCATTTAGCCCCAGAACAGGAATGGCAGCAGTGAGGCAGGCTCCCACAGCCACACAGGCCTGCACAACCCAAAACAGGTACCTCAGCCCAGACCCAAGAGGTGCCCTCCAGTTACAGACTCCAAAGACTGCACTTGGCTTTTTGCCCACCCGTTCTAACATCAGGGCTGAATGTAGAGGAAAATGCACTGCAGGTTTGCTGAGACTGACCCTGGTTCCTATCACTGATAGCCAGGGGACAGTAACAGTGCTTACTGTCCTTGGGCTGGCTCCTTGGCCCAGTTCCCCTCTTGGTCCAGAGGATTTCAGGAACCTTTCCCCCTTCCCCTTAAAGTATGTCCCCCGCCAAAAAAACAGCCATGACAGGTATTTCCACATATCACCATACAGCAGGTGCTGGGCCCTAGTGAGGGATGCTAACTTGTCCCTCCTTCTGATCTGAGAGCTCAGAAATCCCACACCGAGCTGCATCTTGTTCTGGGTGAGGACTGGGCAGACAGACAGCTGAGACCGTGCTTGCACTCAGATGACAGACCGTCTGAAACTCCGCTCAAGACTGCAGGTCCTGCTCCACCGAGCGCTGTGTACAGGCCTTTCAGGCAGCTCAGCTTCGCTGCTGGGAAGAGAGGATCTGTCTGTTTCCAAAAAGCTGGCAGGGAACAGCTGCAGGTTTATAAAGCACGGTGATTCACACAGGGATGGCAGGCCATGAATCAGAAAGCAATCAGGGCTGTCTCCTGTTTGATCTATCCTTCCTAGCCAGGAGCAGAGCTGATGGCACTGGCTGCCTCTGCATGCTTAATGACTCACCCAGCGAGCTATTCAGGGAAAGGCAGCTCTCTCCAGACCCTCTTTTTGGAAGTCATGTGTTTGTGCTCCTTGCGTCACACAGGGTGGCCTGCCGCCTCCCGTTGTCTGCAAAGACTCCGTCAGGCTTTAGGGAGCTACACTGGTCTTCAGGGAAAGCAAAAGAGGGCAGGAGACGCCAGTGAAATGCCTTTCCCAAAGAGCCCAGACAGTGGAGAGATGAGCCACAATCTGCCTCGCAGGCTAAGGGTGACTTCGGGCTCTGAGCCTTGTGGTCCCAAAAAAGCACAGAGATGCGGGGCCTCATCCTGAATTCACTGACGTGACCAGGGTCTCTTGGTTTCAGTCATCTTTGCAACAGACCCTCAGAAGTGACATGAACAACTCGTAACACCAGACAAGCAGCAGCAACATTAATTAACACATATGGTTATATTCTATTTTAAACCAGCAAGGCAAAGATCTGTTCTGAATCACATCGATAATTACGAAAGAGCTCTCCAGGAAATGGCAAGCTATGCCACAGGGCTGTATTCACAAATGCATAAAAACATATTAATTAGACATAAGCTTCATAATGGGAAATGCTTTGCTAACTGAAAAGTGGTTAGAAGACCAAAAGCACTTCCATAATGAAGTTCACTTGGTCCAGTCCAATAGACAGTAGCTCCATCAGCAAGTTAAATTTAAGCAAGCAATCAAGGGATACAGGCTATGAAATTTAGTCATACAATGAAGAAAGGTATTTTTATGTAATTTGCCAGAAATCAACAGGTTCCTACTATGCCCACACACACTGCAATGTAAGTTACAAGGAGAAATAATGCTCTAACTGAAACAAAATGCACAAAGATGGGAGGATAAAACAAAGACAAACAGCGTGACAGAACCTGCGCATGAAAGGGAGGGGTAACAGTTTGAAGATTAATTCAAGAAACTGGGAGTTGAACAGCTTGAATCCAATACTCCATTCTGACACAGACTTTGCGCATGGTCTTGGGCAAGTTCCTTAATCTGTTCCTTGCTTCTGCTCTTCCTCCCCAGTGTAAGACCCTCATCTTTCTCTAAACCCAGTGATGTTGTAAGGATCTGCACTGAGAACCCCTGCTGACCGAGGAATGCCAGCTACAAGGCATAGCAGGCTCCAGGTAACTGGTGTATTGGCAAAAGCCGTACAGCAACACAATTTCGCTGCCTCAAAAGTGCTTTTACCAGTACAGGCTACTTTGGCCAGTGAACTGGAACATCCTCTTTTGGGGTTAGTAAAATCCATACTTACAATGAGAGGACTGTCTGGCAAAGCAATTTTGGCAACAAGGCATGCTGGCTCAAATACATCAAAGATTGCAAGACACTAGTAATGAAGTACGAGAGACTGGAGTAATAGTGAAGAATATGAATGAAGAGCAAGAAGGAAAGGATGACCCACCGATACAAACATCTCAAAAGAAGAAAAAAGAAAAAGAGAGTGAGCTCATCCTGTCCTGTCTGACTGCAAGCCACAACCTCCCAGCTGGGTAAGAACACAGAGTGCATGCCTGCCAGGCAAGGCAGGGCTCACTTCAAATGTGAAACCATTCCATGGCCTGATTTTCTTGGGCTCTCATTCTACTGAGACTGAACCCTTAGGACAAACCAGACAACAGGAACACACCAGAAGTTGAGCAGGTTTGGCTCCAGTTCTGGGTGCTGAGCACCTGGGCACACAAGCACTGCACAAACAGCTGTTTTGTTGCACTGAGCCACCTAAAATCTCAATGGCAGGACTTGCTATGTTATCCCACATCATGTATTTTCACTTGCAGGCCCAAAGGCACATACAGGCACGCACCCACATCCCAGCTCAGAAAGCCCATGGCATGCACACACACACTCCTGCTGGCTAGACATTCATTTAGTCATCACAGACGTTGCTTGGTACATTTGCCTCAACTTGCACAGTAACAGTACTTAATTAAACAACAAAGAAAGCAAGGCCCGCAGGCTTTTTCTGCACAACCTGCCCTAAAGCTGTGTCTGATGGATGTGGAAGAAACAATGCCAAAGCAAATGAAATAGCTCCCAGGCCATTAAAAGCATCATTATTTTTACGTATTGATTTTTGAATGATAGCAAGAAAATTGGTATCCAACGCATCAGTGACATCTATTTCATAGATAACTTGTATGCCAGAAGTTAGATAATTTCTAATGTCTTTGCCAACACGCTCAAGAAAGACTTGCTGCAGGAAATCCCACTGTACCTATGCTGCTATGAAAGCACAGCACCCAAAGGGCTGCAAGCCCAAAATAGAATCACCAGCCCCCTGCCCATGCAGCCACCTCATGCACCCAGTAGGCACGCTGCTGGCCTGGAGGGCAAGGTTCAGCTATGCTGGAGTCTGTCTGAGCTGGGCCAGATAACTCTGGCCCTGAGGCAGCTCTTAGCAAGCAAAGCAGATGTCCTCCCCTTGGTATGTGCAATGCAGGTGTGGGCCAATAGCCTATTATCTTCAGCAAACTGACTGAAGACTTCATTTTCCAGCAAGGCTATCCAACCTCTGAAAGCATGACCTTTCTAAGTTCCCTCTCCGTAAGATGAAAATAATACCACCGCCACTTTACCAACCCCACTGAATATCCTCAGAAAAGGCCTCCAGCTGTTTATCAACTTGCCAGCATATCTCACACAGCCCAGAAAGCTGCCAGAAGTCATTAAGTAAAGCCTTCTCAGGAAAGGAACTCCAAAGCTTGCAGGTGAAGAGATCTGTATTACACAACTACGGAGTGCCATTATCCACCCCAAACCGATAGCTAACATGGGTCTACAGTCTTGACACCGACCTTTCACCACCAAAGCAGCTCAGAGCACCAGTGCAAATGTTCAGTCCTCTTCCAGTGTTTTCTTCCACCCCCTTTCTTCTTGCTGGCTCTGGTCCTCTGCTGGATTCAGGAAAGCAGAAAGCTGAAAAAGAAAAGAAGAGAGATGCAGAGAATCATGAACTAAGTCAAAGATTATTCTTGGAACCCATATTTGATAATATGCTTTGCCATCAAGTTCTCCTTTTAATAGAGAGCGCATGATTTCAGAATACACCTTATGAATGCATTTGATTGAACTGCACAGTGTGCACAGCATAATGGGGGAGATCCAAACTGTAGCAGTGCGGACTGTGAAGACCTTCTGATGGTAGGAAGCTGTCAGAACAGGTTTATATTTACTGCTGCATCCTGTAAATGCCACTATCGTTTCTGTCAAGGCTGTGTACACACCACGACAACTCATTCTGCTGCAAAAGGCCTGAAAGTAACTTTATGAGAAAGCCCAGGAAGAAGACCCTTCCATGCAGTGTGAAGCCCTAGCTGGTGTTAGTGCCTCGAAGTGATCATTGCTCCTAGCCCTCCCAAGGGAACTGCCCAGGAAGAGGAAAGAGGTGGGCAGACAGTACCAGAACTCATTGTGTACATCCATCCTCTGTTCCCAGAGCTTACGAGCCCCAGGATATAGAGCACGAACCAGAGCAGGGCCGCTGCAGAGGAGAAGCATGCTAGGAAGTCACTGTTTCCTTCAGCCTCTACCCCTGCTGAAGCATAACCAAGACACAGGTCCTAAGCACCATGACAGGCTTTGCTGGAAAACAGTTCCCCTGAATTCATCTGCCACTGCCAGCCCTCCTAGAGCAAGGCTTCAACCTCCCAGTGTAAATGCACAGTACCTCCCTCAGATAAGCGAGAAGCCACAGGAAGGTGCTTCAAACAGGAGTTATTTCTCTACAACTTCACTATATTTATCATAAAATCATAGAATGGTTTGGGTTGGAAGGGACCCTTAAAGGTCATCTGGTCTAACCCCCCCTGAAATGAGCAGGGACACCTTCAGCTAGATCAGGTTGCTCAGAGCCCCGTCCAACCTGACCTTGAATGTTTCCAGGCATGGGGCATCTACCACCTCTCTGGGCAACCCGTTCCAGTCTTTCACCACCCTCATCATAAAACATTTCTTCCTTGTATCTAGGCTGAATCTACCCTCTTTTAGTTTAAAACCCTTACCCCTTGTCCTATCACTTATAGGCCCTACTTAAGAAGTCTGTCCCCACCAAGTATTGAAAGGCCACAACAAGGTCTCCCTGCAGCCTTCTCTTCTCCAGGCTAAGCAACCTCAACTCCCTCAGCCTTTACTCGTAGGAGAGGTGTTCCAGCCCTCGGATCATTTTTGTGGCCTTCCTCTGGACCCACTCCAACAGGTCCATGTCTTTCCTGTACTGAGGACTCCAGCGCTGGGCGCAGTACTCCAGGTGGAGTCTCACCAGCACAGCGTAGAGGGGCAGAATCACCTCCCTCGACCTGCTGGCTATGCTTCTTTTGATGCAGCCCAGGATACGGTTGGCTTTCTGGGCTGCAAGCGCCCATTGTTGGCTCATGTCCAGCTTTTCATCCACCAGTACCCTCAAGTCCTTCTCCGCAGGGCTGCTCTCAACCCCTTCATCCCCCAGCCTGTATTGATATCAGGGGTCGCCCCGTCCCAGGTGCAGGACCTTGCACTTGGCCTTGTGGAACCTCATGAGGTTCACGTGGGCCCACTTCTTGAGCTTGTCCAGGTCCCTCTGAATGGCATCCCATTCATCAGACATGTCAACGGCACCACTCAGCTTGGTGTCATCTGCAAACTTGCTGAGGGTGCACTTGATCCCACTGTACATGTCACTCACTGATGAAGACATTAAACAGTACTGGTCCCAATACAGACCCCCAAGGGACACCACTTGTCACTGATCTCCATCCGGACATTGAGCTGTTGACCACTACTCTCTGGATGCGACTATCCAGCCAATTCCTTATCCACTACATAGTCCGTCCA